AGTAGACACCCAGACTATTTGCTGGGAGGTATGTTGAGTCCATGGAATACTTTATTTTTTACCACAAGTTTTTGGAATATGACAAATTTTTTTTACACAAAGTTGACACTTAAATGATATATTGCTCACATATGCCATGGGTATATTTGGAATTATACCCCAAACTACATTATGCTTCTTCTACCGAGTATGTGGATACCACATGTGTGAGACTTTTTGGGAGCCTAGCCACATACAGGAGTCTAAAATCCAATGACCACTTTGAAAGCCTGAAGGTGTGTAACTTCCTCATTTCACTTCCTCATTACCTATCACAGTTTCAGAGGCCCTGAAATGCCAGAATAGCAAACATTAAACCCCCCCCAAACATTATATATTTTTTTAAAGCAGACACCCTAGTGAATAAAATGGTGGGTGTTGTGGGGGGCGTGGTGACCACAGGACAAGATGGATGCCTGAGAGAGGAGCTGCTCACTGCTGTCGGGGGAGAAACACCAAATAATGGAGCTGCCTGAGCTTTCCCACATACCCACACATACGTTCTGCCTCCAGACACTCCTCACCATGCCACACTGCAGAAGAGAAACACCTCATCCGCAGAAAATGTTGGGTTTCTTCTCGACTATATCATGGAGGCTACAACAAAATGGCGGCTGCTCCCATTCCACAGAATCCACCGCTGAACCTCTAGTGACAGCTGCACCACAAACCACACATGCTGAGACTGCAGCTGCTGGTGATTTAGCATGCTCTGGCTTCTCATATCCTACCTTAAGTCCTGTGAAATCAATACCAAGGACATGCTTTTATCACTCAGAGCCTCACTACAGGCAGATATAATTGCTTGTTTGATCAACCTAAAGTAGAGCTCCAGGAGCTTGGCAACAGAGTAGACCATATGGAATGCTCTATTTTAGATATTGCCTCTAAATACAACACACTGGTAGAGGCTTATACAGAACAAGCTAAAGACATCAAATGGATCAAAGTGAAACTCGCTGATTTAGAAGACAGATCACAGAGAAACAACTTGAAGATCCGAGGCATACCCAAAACAGTACAGCAATCGCAACTACCGTCGTATGTGCTAGACCTGTTCCTAGCAGTGATACCTCTCTCACATCTGCGGATCTTATGAATGATCAGATACACCAAGTCCCCAAACCATCCTGCAGAGATTCCTAGAGATGTCATACTACAGATCCATTTATACAAGGTTAAAGAACAACTTATAGCAGCCTTCCGACATCGAAATTACTACCTGAAAGATCCTCCAATTTCCAGCAACTACTGGATCTGTCTCAATTTACACTTAAACAGTGTAAAAACCTCATCTCTGTCACAAAAGCTTTAAGAAACTATACTATTCCATATAAGTGGAAATATCAAGCTAAAGTGTAGATATCCTACCGTGGCTCCACATCCTAAGTAGCTTCCCTCGGAGAAGGGTTCACACTCATGCTGCAATGGGACATCATCCCAGATCTACTGTCTGCTGAGCACCGCTCTCATTTGGTGCCTAAATCTGCCTCAGACTGGCAAGTTACAGGCGAACCACGCAGTCATCGAGCTGGCTATCTCCACTTTCTACGTACTGTGCCTCAGAAATCTACCGGCAGCACTGGAGTCTCTCTTTCCCTTTAGCCCCCACAACATTTTGTAGAATATTCTGCTGGAGGCCTTCCCTAAATGGTGAAGACCTCACCTTTTTAAACTATTATAGATCTTTTATTACTCTATTTTGCCCCAAAATGGAGCTGCTCATCTTTGTATCTTCTTGGCTCTTTGTTTTTTTATGGATCCTGTTGGTCCTCATTTTTGTTTATGGTTATATCCCATTTTATGGCACATCAGCTTTATGAAGACACTATCCTTGACCTATCTCAACCCTGTACGCCAAAGCTACCTGTTGTACTCTATGCAACTTTATTTGGGCTGTCTGAGAGTTTTACACCATCATATCAGCTTACAATGGGACTTACATTTTTTCTCTCTAAATGTTAATGGACATTACCACCCTGTCAAATGCCTTTCCATGTGGAACAAAGCTTGCAGACATGCTGTGGATATTGTCAATATACAGGAGACACACTTTCAACTAAATGAAACACCCAATTGTGTCCACATAACTTATCTTCATGTATTTATGTTCTGTGCTCCAGAAAAGAAAAATATGAGTTCTATTAGCCATTCGGGACACTGTCTCATTTACTTTAACAGAAAGCATCACTGACCCGGATGGAAGATAAATTATCCTACTCTGTCATCTTAACTCCTAGCCCTATACCTTAGTGAATGCTTATGTCCCAAACGCCCAACATATGTGATTTGTTAGAAAATTGTTCAGGAAGATCAAGGGAAAAAGATGTGGACACCTCATCATGTGTGGAGACTTCAAGATGGTGATTAATCCTTCCCTGGACTCTTCGTCACAAACTAAAGGACACTCTCCGGCTCTTGAAAACTTTATTCACTCTAAAGATATGTATGATGTTTGGAGATGCCAACATGGTTGAGAGAGGAACTATACCTTCTTTTCTACTCGGCATCATGCTTATTCTAGGATAAATTACTTCTTTGTTGATAAATGGCTGTTATAACAGACCTCTTCTTCCTCCATCCTTGATATTATGTGGTCTGACCACTCTGCGATTCTTCTAACAGTGGAAGAGAAATATCCCTGCCCCCCTGACATATGTTTGGCGATGTAACAATACAGTGATACAGCAACTAGTCAACCAACAGAGCCTCTCCCAACATCTCAGTGAATATTTTCACACTAACTCCTCCTTCTAAATAGATATTTTTCCCTGATGGAATGACCATAAAGCTTATGTGAGGGGATTTATTGTGTGCGAGGCTTAAGAAGAAATTTAATTATAAACTCTCTGAGCTATTACAGTCTATTCACACCTATGAAGCTCAAAACAAACATAATCCTACAGAATCCATCTCTGCCACACTTGTCAAATTACGCTATCATCTTACAGAATTGCTATGCTCTTAACATGATCACTGTCTGAGACGTCTAAAACTCAACTACTATGCTAATAATAATAAAGCTGGCAAACTGTTAGCAAACAGGTTAAAAAGCCACTATGCCAAGTCCAGATTACCATTTATATACCACCCATTCGCAAAGCAGAGGCTAAGTAATCATCAACATATAGTTGATGATTTCGCTGAATATTATAGTGCCCTATACAACTTAAAAAATGACCCCAATACCCATCAGCCCACAGTAGAAGACATCTGTAAGGGATTTCCGGCAAAAAGAATCGCGATCGGGAACGCGCATGCGCGAAAGAGATCCCGCAGGAGAATTGCTGGTTGTGCACAGATGCGCAGGAATGCGCGATCGCGCACATGCACGCACACGTGCACACGCACGGCGAAGATTGGCGCCAGACGGGCTATATAAGGAGGGCCTCTGCTCAGGTTCAGTGCTGACTGGTCTTCAGCTCCCCCCGTGTCCTGCTTGCTTCTGTATGATTCCTTTGTTGCTGACCCGGCTTGTTCCTGACCCAACTCCGATTACTCTTATGCTCCTGGTTCCTGACTTAGGTTTCCATGCAAATGTAATTCATACAGTACGGATCTTCCGTGAAAAACAGCTCAAAAAAATCAATGGGAGTAGTTAAATTTGCTTTTTCCACCTGAATTCTGGGTTGGGCATTGAAAGGGGGAAGTACGGGTGCTGCAGAATTTATGGGCTGCCAATTAAGATTTGCAAGCACAACCAGAAGGACACTATGAGCTCCATGGGCCTGTGTGTGAATTCTTGGTGACCGCGGGACACTACTTGTGCTAACCACTGTTTTGGCGGTTTTCCTACCCACACTTATTTACTTGGTTCTATACAGATTATAAACGTAATAAGTGATTATAACCTTTTGTCTATACCTAAATTTAGCCAATAGTGTTAATATTAAAAGATAACCACTGTGCAAAAAATAAAGATCTAATTTATTTACACAGCAAGGAAGCTTTCTATTAATCAAATACAAGAAAAATATAATACAGAATGTTATCAATACAAAGGCTACAAGAAAGAGATAGTTACAAGAAAAAGACAGAGCACTGGTGATACATTACAGCCATCCTGATGTTCTGAGGTCTGTGCTGTGGAAGGCACATGGCACGAAAGGGCAGGGCTCTTTTGTTTTTGTTGTTTTATACACTTTCCAAAAGACCATCCCTAAACCCACCCACCCAAGTAAATCACACCTCAAATGGGTGGGCTTCAGAGCAATGGTTAGTTTAAATAAAAGAAAGAACAGGAAATTCAAGTTGCCTTCCATCCCCCTCAGCTCTATTGAGTCTTTTGCAGTATAATCCCCCGACAGTCAATAACCTTCATGAAGATGTAGGCCCAAAATTGCCATTACACCACCATACCAGCTTTTACTGCACTTATGGGACTTGCCACGTCACCAAGTGATACTGCAGTGCTGGTATGTAAAAGACCAGGATGTACTAGGTAGCTGGTGCTCGCAAGTTCACCAAAAGGTAGAGCGCCACTAGTACTGGCACTCTGCTGCATATGGGAGAGTTTATGTATATATATATATATATATATATATATATTATTTATATATATATAGATAGATAGATAGCATGTTTTTCTCCTGTAGTATATATAGCAAGTGCCCCTTAATGAAGTGTTATGGAAGCTTATGGAGATGATACAAACTAGATGCTTTATGGTTTGCCAGCATTTGCAATAGTGATCGGAGTGTCATCTGTGTATGAGCTTCTAAAGTGTTTGGGGTAGTGTTTAAGTATATCGGAGCTGATATGGGAGCTTCTGTATCTGCTAGACATGTGTAATGAAGTATGGAACGTTACTAGCATTATTCCCTGCCCTAACATGGTCTCGATGACATGTAGAGAAGGGGTATAAGTATGACCATCCCGTCTGACAAACGCATCCCTTATGATTAAGTCCGATGACAAAACGCATCAAGGGAAGTGACGTCAGATGCACACGGAGGAACCGAAAGTGGTAGAGCGCCATTTTGGAAAGTGGCAAAATCCTACCAAACACTCCTGGATGTTACCTGGACTGCATACAGGCAGGAGCGGACTGACAACTCATGGGGCCCCCAGGCAATAGGGGATCATGGGGCCCCTGTGTCCTTGCCCAAACTCAAAAAAGCCTATGAAAAAGGTACCAGAGGCATCTCATGGGGCCCCCTACTGACCCCGGGCCCTCGGGCGGTGCCAGAGTTACCAAATGGTCAGTCCGCCCCTGCATAGAGGTTTGGTTTTTGGAAACATGGCGTTTTTAAAGCTGTTGTGATGTAAGCACATTATTAAAGTATATTTTAAAGGAATTGTGTGGTATTACACTATATCCTTTCTTATATATTGTGTACATCGGTGGAGCATGGTATCAGGAGGAGTGTGGAGTACTCAGGCTTAACTAACCCAGATGACATCAAGGAGTCACACTTATAAGGCTGTGATGACATCTTAAAGATCTTTTCTCAGGAAGGCGGTCTTTGGAATTTGTATCATACCTAGGTGGTATTAAGGCGTAATTATGTTTTCATCCTGGTAAGGGTATTTACTCCTTACTAAAAAAAAAGAAGTGTACATGGATACTGACACTTGCTGTTTTTTTGCACTAAGAGTGATTCACAGTCACGGTTGATACACAAGTTCACTTTTCACTGATAGTGGTCACTTGTGATTTTACACAGTGTATTATATTTTTTTACACAGTGTATTATTTATGTACTGGTTTGTTAGGGATAACGCACTATGTAAATTTCTCTTTTTTTTGGAGGTTCACATTGTTCGTGGGACCCAGTTGGAAGGCTCAGACATCAGGTTTTTTTTTTTAGAATCACCATTTTATGATTATTTTTTGGGGACACAAGCGCATGATTTTTGTATATTATCAAAATTGACTTTATTTTGGACACTATTTGTTATATTTTGGACATTTTGTGATATTATACTTATTATTTTTCACATTTTGGGAGTTTTATGTCAAGGGTAGCATATTGAAGAGATATATACATCTAGAGGTTGCTATAGAAATTTTGAGCATTAAGCAGTGGCAAATTAAAGTGTTTCTAGAGCCAAACCTCTGCATTAAGGTAAAAAATGTTTTATTACTTGCTGTGCCCCCTCCCCCTCTAAACACTTATCTGACTCCTGGATCGATCCAGCACTGTGCCTGGCTGCAGCTGGAGCCATTGGTTCCTGCTGCTTTCAATCAAATCCAATGAGGAGGGAGCAGGGGGACTGCTGTGTATTTTAATAGATGCATGCCACCCTGCTTAGAAGCGAGTCTGTAGGTGCAACTCCATAGGAAGCAGCTTCCTATGGGGAAGCACCACGAAGATGATCAGACAAGATCACTGGTGGGGGACTCATGATACGTTGGTTTGGAGCCACTCTTTGCAATACCCTTACACAGAGCAGGTATGTATAAAATGCTTGTTATTACAAAAAATTAAGACTTTACGACCGTATTAACTTCCCACCTGATGGTACCTACATAGTTCTGGCACCAAATGAAGCTTATCCAATTGTTTCTTAGGTAGGGAATCATTACCATTGATAATGTTTTTAGCTCTTTGTAAGAGGGTGGCATTTCTTCTACCTGCCATCAACATAAAGTAGCACTACACTGGACACCAAGCTCAGGAGCATGCTTACCACAAATAGTAAAGCAGTCCTTCTTTAACTGATCACCAATTTAAGGGGCACTTCTCCACTGACCAGGAATGTAGGGGGGATGTTCTCATTTACCCATCCCATTCTGTGACAGACAGGGGGCTGTATCCACAGAGAAAAGTGCAGTCCAGGTAATTCCTGAAGTGTACCTGAGATTAGAGAAGCAATGGGCAGTGATGGTGGACCATAGCAGGCCAGACAAGTGTGAAGCATGCCAGAGACTATGCTAAAAGTCACTAGAGGACAGTGGGAGTATCGGGGCACTTTGAGAGACAAAGGATTGCACAGCAGTGCACTGAGGTCCCTAGATGACACAGATTACTCTGGAGTACCCATGAAGTCAAATGGCAAATCAAAAGCATGCTTGGAGTCACAAAACAGGTGACACAAAACACTTTGGGGTGTACTTGGAGCCATGGACCACACAGGAGTGCACTTGGATTCACTAGATGACTCATGAAACTCTGGGGTGCATTAGGAGTCATGGAGCACGCAAGTCATACTGGAGCTACTAGGTACCAGAGGAAATCTTGGAGTTGACTAAGAGTTGTGGGGCCATAGGATGTCCTGAAGTAGTACCAATCAGGAGAAATGTCTGCTGGTTGATTGTGGCTTGGTTTCACTCTGGGAGAAACCTGGCAGTATTGGCATTTGCCCAACTGAGAGGAGACCCAGTGCTGGATTGTAAAGGAGATAAATGTACTACTTCCGCTTTCTTTTATTCTTTAATATAATTACAACTAACTGCTCGTGTTAATGAACTGTGAGCTATAGCTATAATAATTTTTAGTAGGGGTTCCTTGACACCTGAAAATTATTTCAGGAAATATACTTCAGTTGCCTCAATACTAATCATTTAAGTACATCTATATATATAATGTTTCTAATGTTAAGAACGAAAAAAGTATATTCTACTCCTTTCTCATCATTTGCATGTTTTTAGAGCAGTACAAAGGCATTGCAACTGAGATAAGGTACTTATAGTCCATTTCATTGAATTCTTATGACAACTGCTGACTGTGGGAAGTACAAGATAATTAAAACTTCTTATACCAAAAGACTAAGATAACCTTTAGTGGTGGCACATGTTATATAACACATACTGTTTAATGAAGTAAATTACCCATCCTATGGTGCCAGATCTCTTCAATTCATTATTAAAATCTGGTACACACACATTAAAAGCAGTGCTTAAAAAAGAGTGTGAGGGGAGCAGTTTGCAGTCTCCTTGATACTATGTCACCTTTTCAGGTTTATTCAGTTTGGCAGTACACAGAGTGATAACAAGTACAAAGTAGTTGATAACAAACAATAAAGATCCATGCTCACCTGTTTAAAAATTGTTTCTTTTGTGCTTTTGCTTGTAGAAGCAGCTCAGTGATGTGTCCATGCACATTAAGATGTTTAGAAGCATATTTCAAGCTCAATGTATTGAGGCACAAAAAAAACCCTTCTGGGCTGTGTTTTTGATTAGTGTTTTCTGGCAGAAAAAATGCTAAACACTACTAAATGCAGCTAAACATGTGTACAAAAACACCTAATATGAACATTTTTTTTTCTGCCAAGGGAACTGACATTTTTTTAAGCACAGTATGCATGGAGCCTACGAAATGATGCTATTGATAACACATCACATTCCAGTTCCAAAAAAAGAAGGGGAAGGACATAGAGCTTAAAGTTCCACTCCATGCAAGGTTCACTTTACTAGTAAGGACCCCTTCTCTCTATCCTAAACCACTTTCAAAACATGACTGTGGGGGGAAAAGTTGTTAAAATAACTTACTTTTCTCTAACTTTCATGCTGCGGGGGGGGGGGGGGGGGTTAATATCAGTATGCTTCAGGTGATATAACTTGGAATGCTAAATTCAAATCTTGCAAAATGATGTCACAGCACAGTCCAGTAACATCTAATTGCTAAATCTAAGTTACTCAGCGGTCACAGGATATTGTCAGAGATGCTAATGTCATCCTTATGTAGGCACTGCTGGCAAAACTGGGTATGAAGTAAGTATAATCGTTTTGTCAAATCTTTATTTACCTTTGGTCTTCCCTGTCAAACTTAACCGCTCAAGGACCGTCCTATAGCAGATATACTGCTACAGGGTGGCACCTGTGCACAGAATCACGTATGTATACGTCACTTTGCATTTCTGGGTAAGGGGCACGCGCAAACCCTACCCACAATGCCATTCACGGCCGCAGATGTCAATCACCAGGTCCCGGCCGGTAATTACCCACCAGCGCCCAGTGATTACCGAGCATCTCCGATGGGGAGGAAGATTGTTTGTTTACAAACAATCTTCCTCTCTGTCAGCTCAAGCACACTGCTCGAGATGGTTGTGCACAGTACAGCCATCCCGATCAGTGTGCTTACAGTGACGAACACCCCCCCTCCCCCTAGTAAAACACTCCCAGCACACAGTTAACCCTTTGATTGCCCCTCACATTAACCCCTTCCTGCCCAGTGCCATTAGTAGAGTGTCAGTGCTTTTTTTTTTTAATACTGACCACTGTATTGGTGTCACTGGGGTGTCAGTGACACCAAGTTAGTTCCCCCTCAGTGTCAGAATGTCTGCCGCAGTCCTGATAAAAGTCGCTGATCGCCTCCATTACTAGTAAAAAAAAAATCCCATTATCTATACCTCCATTTGTAAACGCTAAAACTTTCACGTAAACCACTTAATTTACACGTATTTGGAATTTTTTCAGCAAACACATGTCGCAGAATACATTTTGGCCTAAATTTATGATGAAATTTTATTTTTTTTTAATTTTTTTGCTGGATATGTTTAATAGCAAAAAGTCCAAAATATTTTTTCTCAAAATTGTCAGTCTTTTTTTGCTTATAGCACAAAAAATTTAAATGCACAGGTGATCAAATACCACCAAAAGAAAGCTCAATTCATGGGAAAAAAGTACATAAATTTCATTTGGGTTATGATAATGAGTGAATGTTGTAAGTTGATAGCCCAGAGCTCCTAGTGTTCTCAAACTTATTAAATACTAAAGTTATATGAAAAATGTTCTAAACCATCAAACTACAATTGAAATTATACATGAACAGTTGAAATTCTAACAACCATAATCTGCAATAGCCATATATACAGTGGGGATCGAAAGTTTGGGCACCCCAGCTAAACATTTGCATTAATGTGCATAAAGAAGCCAAGGAAAGATGGAAAAATCTCCAAAAGGCATCAAATTACAGATTAGACATTCTTATAATATGTCAACAAAAGTTAGATTTTATTTCCATCATCTAACTTTTGTTGACATATTATAAGAATGTCTAATCTGTAATTTGATGCCTTTTGGAGATTTTTCCATCTTTCCTTGGCTTCTTTATGCACATTAATACAAATTTTTAGCTGGGGTGCCCAAATTTTCGATCCCCACTGTAAGTGCACATAAAACTGTGGATATTATACATACTCATGATGTCATCCAGAGGATTTGTTTTGACTTGAATTGGACTGATTCCATGCATTGTATTCTCTGTAACGTAGATGCCTTACACACTGGGTTACCCTAAGCTAAGTCACTCATATTACCTACAGTACTGCATTTGTATT